CACCACAGTTAATCCGACAATCTACGTTCGTTGAGAAAGTTTGGCTTCAAATAGCTCGAAAAATATCGTAAAGAATTAAGCCAATTTTAATCAGAATTATTATCTTTATACAATAATATTGTGTGAGGTGCTTAAAACTGAATTGATAATGTTGTTACAAAATGTCCTTTCCATATTTTCTGCAAAATTATAACTATAGTGCTCAGGCCAATTACAGCGAACAAGATCCACTCGGTAAAGACAATCCAAATCGACAGAGACGTTTATCGCCAATTTTGTGTAACTTTCAACATTACCAGAAGTTCAGGACATTAATTATCATAATTCCAGTATTTCGCAATGAAAGATGGCTGCCTTGTTATAATAGAATTATATAAGGCACGAGACAAAATTTGAAATTAAAGCAACTTCTATCTTACATATTGCAGTTGCGAATTTCGATTTAGGACGGGCAGAAACTGGGTAGTTTTATGAAAATTTTTTCATATTTTTATATTACTCTTAACAGGTTTCCCAGTAATTTCATTTGAGCAACTAACCATTATATACTTGCAATATATTGTTTAGTTGCTGAAATTTCATTACTGGGGAACCTGTTAAAGGTAATATAAGGTAATATAAAGGTAATACATGTATTCTTCCCGTCTTAAATCGAAGTCCGTAACTGCAATATATAAGATAGAAGTTGCTTTAATTTCAAATTTTGTCTCGTGCCTCATATGATTTTATTATAACAAGGCAGCCATCTTTGATTGGGAAATACTGGCATTATGAACTTTTATGGTAATCTGAATTTCTGGTTATGAATTAATCTTTTATTCCCAATTACAATTAACTATCTGTCTTCATGGAAAGCCAAAACTGAATCTGGGTCATTTGCTCGTTTGTTTTTTTTACTATTTCAATCACTGACAGAACAACATTCAGTTCAATATTTCATCAACACTTACAGTGGGATTTGCATTGCAAGAAGTCCAGATATCTTGATTTTGGGATACTTTTATCATGCAGTGCTATGACTCAATATTCTTACTTATATTATACGACTACATTAAGACATTGGAAAGAAATGTTAAAGGAATACAATATTATATAGGAACGCACTTTAGGTAAAGTACGAAAAAAGTGCTTACAGTAATTGCGAGATTGACCAACAAGGGCGGAAGTCCAAGTGCTCGTCGATCTGCTACTCTACGCTCAACCCAGGTATGATATCGTGAATCAACGATGTACATCGCGATGAAGACATCATTGGACTGATGCAGACTAGCTGTGCCTTTGAGCTTATGGAAGTCTCGTGGCCACACACAATTACTATCAAAAACGTTTTCCTGGTTTTGTCAGTGGTCGTCGTTCAAGCTTGTGAGCGAAACTTTCCCGGCAGATTGGACAACGGGTACTGAAGAAAAACAAGTCATACCACATTATACGTCATTTACGGGCTGGGAATTCCGGATGTGAACATGAAAACATTGTCATCATTTAAAACAACCAGGAAATTTCAACACTTTTTTGTAAAACGTTTAATTGAATTCCAAACATTTCATTTACGAAGTTACATTAAACATGCTTTCGCTCAACTCCACCCCTGTTAGAGGAGAATGTTATTAATACGTACATTCCACTTCGGATCATTTGAGTTGCACATTCTTTGTGTACTTTATGAGAACACGGCAGGATCTGACATCCTGTGAAGGCGTCCTATAAAAATCCACCAAAAAATGTTTATGATTAAATAAAAAATAAAGCTTAGTCACTGTGATAAATAGTACATGACATCAAAATAAATGAGACGTCACTTATTGCAATGTATTACACTGTAGGAACTCATTATAACTTTGGATATACTTGAATGTCAGAATTTAGAGTGAAAAACGGAAACCTAACCAAGAAAATAAAATGTGGCATTGAAAAACCTAACCAAGCAAATAAATTATTCTGCCGTACCTCCAAACATATGCAACATTCATCATGAGCAGATCCTTCACGACATTTATGATTTCCTCGAAGTTGGACATCCAGACACACACCACAAACATCGCAATGGAAAGATCGATCACCATGAATTCTAAAATAGAACAACAACGGTGCAATTAATTATCTTTATAGTGAGAAACTAACACTGCATGTGGTTTAAGTATTCGTTTCCATCCATTGTTCCGTCAGCTAACTCTTGTTAAGCAAAGCAGAAATTTACTGATTCCACAAAATTCTCACTCACACAATTCCTACCTGCAGATTCCACATTTTTCACAATGATAAGGATGGTCATCTTTACCAGTTAAGTGCAAACACAAACCACAGAAATAATTGGCAAATTTTGCATTGCAGTTACAGCAAAACTCTCCAAACTAGAAAATGAAAATGTAGGATTATACATACACGGAATAGTAGGGTTAAAACATAGAACGGATGCAACATAATCCACACAAAAGTTTCCTTACTGGTTGCTCTTTGTTACAATAAACGCACTTCACCATCTTTGTGTCACGTGACTTAAGTTTCTTTCTTCCACAAGTACTTTGGTTGTTATGGCAACGATGACATGGCCAAAATTTATCACAACACTCAAATTTCACGTAACAGTGTCGTTTATAATGACTGCAAAGCCAATTATCATCCTGGTCAAGAGCCTGGTGGTTGCGAGAGGTGTCGGGGTTGCGAGAATTGAAGCCCTTGTTAATCTCTGTATCACGACGTTGGGGTTTGGAAAGTTTTAAACCATTGCTACCAAATGTTTGAAGGTTTCGGCTGTTGTTTGGTAGTGATTGGTTTGTTTTTATCAACGGGTTTGCTGTCATTCTTCTCCTCTCGTCTGGTTTTACAATAAAGGGGATATTAGCAATAATGTGAAACTTTCACTCAATTCAACTTAAAGTTATTTAGCAGCAAAAGATTGACGTTCATACATAGATATAACGCTTTCTGCTACAATGCAACGATGGAATGGATAAGTTAGCTGTAATATGGAAATCTTACTCCAATTCAGGCGCCACAGAGCACAAGAATTGCGTAATCCAAATTATCCAATACATTTCAATTTGTTCTCTATTTTAATTTTCTAAGTCTAAAATTGAGACAATCGAGTAGAATTGGGAATGACGTTAAGCGGTATCTTTCTTTCCCCCACAACTTTAGGGCCTTAATTCACTATTAAAGTTACTTTTAAATAAAGCAGACTCCGCGCCATGTAACTTAATTCAGGAATCCGAAATGCAATCATGCGCAGAATCCGGAGTCCCAACTTTGCAATACGCAAGTTGTAATCCAGAATCCAAGGGTGGAAACTGAAATTCCACGTAGTATGATCTGGAATCCAAACAATGGGATATAATACCACCTGGTTTACCTTAGATTGTGCGATAGATTGTAGGAGTACAAAAGGAGTACAAAAAACTTACAAGAAATAGGACCATCAGGAACGACCACGTCAGTAACTTTACTGGACGAAAATCCTGTTGCAGTTGATTTGAGTTCTTGCTGTTCATGCGCTGCGGGTTGATTTTCATTTCGAGATCTAAAAGGCACTTTGGAATTGGAGGAAGTATTTTGGTTTTTCAGAGAGCTTGGAAAAGCAGCCATGTTGCTGCCCAATGGTTTTCTTGTTGCTTGATCTCCGGCATTACCTCCTGCGGTTGGAATTGGGATCTCTCCATTGAAGATGCTTACATTTAAATATCTTGATGTGCTCCGACCAGCTTGGCGAATTTTCGGGCCTGGAACTTGCCGAAGTAGACTATAATCACCAAGAAGGAATAGATCAATCATGTGCAGAAGATCATATCTGATGATGGATTTGAAAAAAACACAAAGATTACTTAAATCTTCGGCGTTGATAGCCCCTTTTTCATCAAGTTTGAAAAATACATCTGAAGCATTTGAGGCGTTCTCAATCGAGAAATTCTGACTTGCCCAATGTTTGAGTTTTATAACATCAGAAGAAAGAAGACCTTGAGCCAAAGTGAGCAACAATATCTTGTAGTTGTTGTATAATATCGCAGCCACGGATGTTGATGGCTTATTACTCAAGGATATGAACTCTCTTCCATTAGAATCATCTTGTTGAACTGAGAATGACAGATCTTCATCATTTTGGTGGCTCGAGTTGCGTTGGACTTCAGATAAAATTTCCACGACACCTTTTCCACTTTCAACTTGCACCAAATTTTGCGATGCTGTCTGAACAAATGATGTCGACGCTCCCACGTTGATTGCTTTAGCTTCATTTCCCTCTCCGCTGCTTGTCTCCCCTCGATCGCGAAGTCGTTTTTGTGTTACTGGACTTTCATTTTCACCCTTTCGGGATTCGTTCCCATTAGAATCGAAGCAGTTTGCTTCAAGACGTTCGGAACGAACTGGTGTTTTGTAGCTTGGCTTCCGATCATCTGATCTCTCATTGCTGACAATTAGACCTTGCGATGTTGGGAATATTTCATGAAAACGTTCTGTCCATCTTTCTGCGCTTTCTTTTGCATTTTTTTCAAAAAGTAGTTCCCCAAGATCACCCAAAACCTCCTGATGTTCGGTAAATACAATTTCCTCTCCTTGACTGGGAATCTTTTTGCTCAACGCACTTTCTTCGGTTTCCATTCCCTCGTCCTGTGCTTCATAGAGTATTTTTGCTCTTTTCAAATCTTCATCCAAAAAGGCATTTTCACGACCAGCATAATTGTGCAAAGGCTTGGCATTTTCTTCGCTTGGCGATTTAAGATACTTTTGTAACAAATCTAAGGAAACCAAAGTCTCTTCAAGTGATGCTTTCGCTTCGGAAAGACCATTTAAGAAATCGGAATTCACTTTTTGATCAACCGCATTTGAGAAAACTGATGCGCTTTTTTCTTGCTCATGTTTGGTTGAAGAATCGTCGAAACCAAAATCTAGATCGCCTTTAGAGAAATGAAGCTCTAGTTTGGTATTCCTTCTGGATAGTGATTCCCATGCGCTCAGTAACGAATCTTCTATACCGCGAAGAAAACCTCTGAAGAGATTCCATCGATTATTGATCACGCCATTCTTATCAGTTGATTTGCCATGTTTGGATGCTGGTATCACTGGTATGGCCATTTTCTGCAAACTTTACTTCAAAAGTTTAAGGACCTAAAAATATAAGTTAAATTCTGTATTATAGAGATGCATATAATATATTGCAAACTGACATGCGTGGGCGCTTTAAATCGATGTTACTCTCAATTGAGTGGAAAATGACTAAATGGCTGAATTTTTATGGAGAAAAAGTTTGAAAGGCAGGTAAAAATTAAAGAGTGACATGTATACGTATATATCCACATGTATACATTTACTGCTCGAGATTCAACAGTGTTACTTGACGTTGCTAAAGACCCTAAAAAGTTTCAGGTGATGGAGTTGCTAGACAACATTTAGTTCCAGTCAAGAAGGTACTTTTCACCTCAAAGAAAAGCATTTCTCTATTTTCAAGGCAGCGCTATCGATTATGTTATCTAGGAAACGCGTGTAGGTGTTTTGTCTACATTGCGACCACGTTTTGGGCTGACCAATGCCAATTACACCCTTTAGGAGTGTTTAAGTGAACTTTCGCGGTTTCCATTTTTCGCTGTTTCTTCCGATTTATTCCGACTGTGTTATTTTTATAAGCTAATCTGGTTTAAATTTTTTTTGGAGAATCTTTTCGGAAAAATTTTTGCCTATCAACCAAAATGTAGCAATAAAATATACGAATTTGCATGGTCATGTTTTATCCACTACGATTGATGCTGTTCAGCGCAACCGCCGTGAAATAATTTAGGTAGCATTAGTTTCATTAAAAATCACGGTTAAATCAGATGCCATTCCATCATAATAATTCTTGCAGCACAATACTTGCTCTGCACCATTTCAAGAGCATTTTTTACAAGTTAACCAGTTACTTTGTCCAAACTCAAACAATACATCCTCGATTTAGAGATTTGGCCTGATTTTTCGATTACTTGCCAGTATTTTTGAATGGGAATGAATCAGAAGAGCGCCTTTTTTGTTGTTTGTCAATCATTAATTCTTTATGCATCCATCCATCCATCGATTGTTGTTTGTTGGATTTCAGCAGCAGTATCGGCAACAATCTGGGCTGTTATATTTAAGCAAAAACACAGAATAATAATTGAAGAAGTTAAAACTTAACCGAGTCCTCGGACTAAAGGGCATAATCAAGGCAAACAAAAGTCAACTGTTCGTGGCAAATTTCTCAATTGTCAAAAAATTTGCAGAATTAGTTAATTCATGTTTGCCGTGATAAATGGCTTTTAGCCAGAAAGATCAGTCAAAGTTTTAACTTTCTAACTTTACCTCCGTTTGCATTATACATTCAATTTCTCGGCACCGCACGTCACGGCTAAAATAGGTAGCTACCTGTGCATGCCCAATTTCATCTTTGCCTAGCCTTTGTATTGGTAGCCTAAACAGAAATAAACTGGGCACATGCAAGTGTACCAATTGCAGCCGTGCCACGCCATTAAATTGAGTATAGCGTAAACGGGGCTTATATTTTGTGTATATTTGCTTTTATTAAATATAATTAGCCAGAAGATGCGATTTGTCGATGTATCGTGTAGCTCCCAAATAACTCTCCTCAATTACATCAGTATATTTATTGTGATGGATCATCCCAGTGATAAAACCTCGTCGAGTATGTTTCCAACCTCGCAAGCCAGGCTCTTTTACCTACGCTCCACGGCCCACGCTGCGGCAAAGACCCTGGTCAAGGCTGGTCATGTGACCTCCCAAAATATGGGAGGTTTTTAATTAGCGCTTAGTTCATATCCATGGGAGGAGTGGCAAAGTCGATATACCATTTCTGCTATTTTTAGCACTTGTCACAATCCAGATGACTTTGTACTAACGCAACTAAAAATAGCGGTTCACACAATAAACTAAATAAATACAGCTAGTGTGGCGCAGTAAAAAACTAAAAAGAGCAATAAACCGAATTTAGATTCAAGTGCTATGTGTAGACTGTATCATCGTCGATAGAATCGGTTTTAGTATCGTCACAAGTTCAGTTGATATTCAATACAGACACTCTAAGGCCTGTGCTATCTTCTAAATTTGGGCGTTGATGAGAGAATTTAGAGGTCAAATAACAATAACGACACATGTTATTTCGCTTTGCAGTACAACAGCGCTCAATATTCAGTCCTTAGAAACACGCTGTTTTAACTGATGTGATCTATGCGCTACTTGTGTCCCACCCATCCCCACACGGGAGAAGCGTAACAAAAGAATCACGTGACCAGCCTTGACCAGGGTCTTTGCCGCAGCGTGGGCCGTGGAGCGTAGGTAAAAGAGCCTGGCTTGCGAGGTTGGTATGTTTCGAGGCATCCAGTACCAATAGAGATCCGATTCTGAGGTTTTCAACAAGGAACCTAAAAGGCATATCCTCTGTGTAAATATTCCTTTTGACTCAGCAGTTGCAAAGACCATAAAGTCGCGATGTAATTTCACAGTTACTTAAATTTTAGTTTCAGGCACACAGCTTTACCCGAAATATCACTTGGTTGCTTCAATTTCTTCCTCAGTCAAAGAACAGTTAGAACAAACTAATTCTCGACCCTCAGGAACGGTTTGTGCCGCCGTGTCTTTTTACAAGACCTGATTATTTCATGCCGAGCTAGTATTCGTCATGAATAACATAACTATTGTCATAATCAAGACAAAATATCGATCACACCGATCCAAAATACTGGAAATTGGATTAAGACGTGTTTACTTCTTCTCCTTCAACAAAAACAGCTGTTTCAGTAAACTTTGTATTACGCAGTTCACGTGGTAAACTTTCAACAAGGAACGTTCGACTGATACATGAAAATATCTCGAGATTCCTGTATTAATCAGTTTCTGCTTGAGTCTTGTTCATGATTTCAATATATCCGCCAATGTTTTTAGTTAAGCAAAGTGTGTTAACATATAATTTTGTCCCTCACAAGTGACGGAGACTAAATATAGCAGCAGAGAACATCATTCATATGTCTTGGTTTGTAAATAATAAGCCGAAATGCCAATTCTATTGTTTATATTTTTCCGGAGTGCCACAACAAATAAAGTTTTCCATAGTGGAACATTTTATGGTATTTATTTCGATTTCTGTCCAGTATTTTTAAATACATTCTTTCATTAAAGACAAAATGATCACGGAAATATATCTCCAGAATTAATTTTCCATTTCATATTTACTTCTTTTACCGAATTTCGTGACATACTCATCATGTCTTCAATGACTTTCCACAATTCAAACAATCCAAAGTTCAATACAAAACAATTGATTAAACATGCAATCCTTTCGCTAGGAGCTTCTATAAACAGGTATATGGTTTATCCATAATCCATGTGCAGAAATAATCTGGAAGCATCATTCGTGTCGGGAGAGGAAGTGATAAATTAAAATCACCTTTAATAAAGCGACTTTCACGTGAGTAATGAAGCCAAGGTAATATATTCCAGTTCAGTGCTACATGGTAGGTGCAACCATAAGGTGGAGTGAATTGCAGAAATATAAGAATTTCAATCCCACTGTTTTCAATAATTTATCCTCGCGGTATATTTGAGTATCCTGAACAAAACGAATACTTTGTGCCAACGTGGAGTTAAACCATTCCATTCCAACAGATTGACAAGTGAATTGTGTCCCTTACAAGTGACGTAAGTAATAAACCAAATAACAGAGAACGTCTTTCATATATCTTTGCTTGTGCATGGATACCATCAAGCAGAAATGCTATTGCTGTTATTTTTCCGGAGTGCAATACGAATAGAGCTTTCAATAGTAGCACATTTTAATGCCATTCTTCTTGAACAATGGCAGATAATGGCGCAGATAGATAAACAAAACAAATGAGTAATTCTAAACAATATTAGAAAATAAAGCATTTAATTCAATGACAAAAACTTGAAAGTCATGAATACCTTGACCACTTACACCTAAGATGCAAAACACACATGGGAACCATGCAGTGGCGTAGCCAGCCTGATGATTTTTCCCGCTATGTAAATTTCGAATTATCATAATTATTCATATCTTTAGAAATTTGTTGTTTTCACAGTCAATGACCACTAAAATATTAGCGTAACGGGACAAATCGTTAGACTGGCTATGTCGTGAACTAGAAATACATAGATGCGATAACTAACTAATTAATATCAGATATATTTTCTTTGACGCAAGACTGACGCGTCCGGCGATGTCACAAACGTTTAGACTTCGATTTTATATTTTCAAATTTTACACTTACGCCGGCTTACATATTGCTGAGCTGCCTTAGATGCTGTTACATGACCGAGTTACTCGAGATTCAACGAAGCGTGAGAGGACTTTGAGGTATTAAGATAAGTCTTTATGACACCAAACAAGCACATGCTATTGTTGTGGTGATTATACGACTGCCAGGATCTTGTTATCTGCTCATTTCAATACCTCAAAATCATCTCACGCTTCGTTGAATCTCGGGTAACCGGGCTCATGCATGTGAGCAGCCCCTTAGCAGTCCCTATATATTTTTTCGCACTTATGCCTTTTAATAATAAATAGTTTTGAACACTTCAAAAACAACTCCGACCGAAGTTCAAACGGTTTATCACAAGCGATATTTTTCTCGTGGGGAAAGACATAATTTATTAACCGCACCTCTGGAACAAATTTCCCAAAGACACAAGAATTAAACAAACTTCGATGAAAAAAAATATCGCGAGACATGGAAAAGAAAAATGGCCATATAGCGGAAACCCGAATTTATGGCCATTTTCCACTTGGTGGAATTTTTTCTTTCAAATAAAAATCCGCTCCCCGCGCAAAATTTGGTCTAGTGGACAACAACCCGTATACACTATACGTAGGTGTTTCAAAAATTTTGAAACTAAACCAAGCTTATCGCTAAGCTTTCCCAGGCGAATTCGCCTGAGCGGACTTAGTACCCTCGCAAGGGATCATACGAGCAGTTAATTTGAAAGAAATTAACCAGAATGCTGAGTTGCAAATATCATAAGTTTAGCCCGCAAAATACGCTGCCATGCCCAATAAAGTTAATATAATGTCCTTTATTTCCTCTCAATTACTCTCCCTTTCTAAGGCCCACTAGGAAGATCTGTATGACTATAATATAGAATAGGCAACCATGAGGATCGTACTATAAACAGAGCTATACTAACAACATCCTATATACCTGAACTATATTGATCATTATCACTCCTGTTTTTATCTGACCGCGGGAACAACTTATAGTCAATACGATAATGACACAGCATATATAGATACATGCATGCAGTAATGTGCTATTCAAGCAGAGAGCATAGAGTAACTTACTCGCTTTTCATGGTTCTCTTGCTTCGTTTCCTTTGTTTGAATGGAAAACAAACTCTTACGAGTGACGACATATTTTCAACTGTATATCTTTTAGAAACGTCTTCTCCAAAGTAGCGAACTTTGAATTTTCTGCTTCGCACACAAATTATTGACTTCCGTCACATCAATTGACATTATATTATAGAAATGCATAAATAACTACTTTATATCACTCCTTATATACTAGTGGTATTTGTTGATCCACGCATAACGAATCTATAATATATATAAATGATAAAATATAATTGTATACTGCATGGGTATAGCAGCCTATATTATATTATGGTTTTAATCCCTCGGCTGTACTTGGCTAGAAGTTGGGTGATCAAAACTGTGGACATTCAAATACAGATATGCTCTACATACATAAAAAACTAACCTGATTTACATACGCAACTTTTCACTCAACTTTTACGTCTGTACAAGTACATCCACGCAGCTTTACACCTATCAATTTCTGAATACTAAAGTACGGAGGAAGCAATTAGTATGAGTATGCTAGAAAAATAAAAACCATCATGACAACTCAAAGAAGAGAATCTCCTGACAACTCAAAGAAGAGAATCATATTCAATAACCTAAAATGTTTAATTGTGTTAATGTCCACTGTATAAATGTTAAAAAATATTACCTTCTTCATTATGTCCAAATTCCAGTCCAATCGTCTTTGATATAATTAGGAATATATAAAATATCATTAATAAAAACGTATATATTTTACAAATTTACATTTATTTATTTTCCAAAAATAAGCCTGTCAACAAGGACACAGCCTGCAAGGACACTCCTTTACATTGCTGAAAACTTAAAAGTAATAATTGAATTAGCTTACGCATGTTATGTTTATACGATTTCTTAATTCTAAAGCCAAAATCAAGGAAAAGATTTTACTAACCTATAAGTTAAGCTGTTTTTTGTTTCTAAAGGTGTAGTGTCCTTGAGGCAATTTGGTTGATAATTCATATATGCGCAATTGTAAGCCACATTAATTAACCATAGTAGACTTAACTAGCCATATTTGACAGACTCGGTGAACTGTGACCGAACAGACAGGTATCATATAACACGTTCACACGTGTGTGTAGAGATAAAATAAAAAAGGGACAGTCGAAGTCAGATACTAGAGAAATGTAGATCACTATCGTATTGTTGGTATGATAAAAGTAAAGTGTTGAAGTAAACTTGTGATTAATACTGGTGTGTGCAACACACATTTCAAGAAATTGTGCATGGCCGCAAGGCTGACACAATAACTATAAAAGTAAAGGTATATACGTCCAACAGAAGCTTATACCTGCATGCAGGCAACTTGCAGACACCCTCTTGTTCCATACTTCACACATAAAACGACACAAAATTAATGACAAAGCGCATTTCTTACAGCCTATATTATATATATTTATATTTTCTGTATTTGACTATTTTAGACTAAATTTTCCCTAAAAAGGTCAAAACTTTTTTAACGAAATTATACACTTGCAGCTTTCTTTTCTGATGAGTCGACGGTTCTGGAAACGATTAACGCATGCATGGTCTTTGTTTAAGAAACTAAAAATCCTGCGATCTTTGGTAGAAATTTGCTATAGATAACAAATACGCGTGGCTTTGAAAATTGAAGATTTCTGTTATTGAACATGTTCAAAGGCAAGCAAAAGGTCAATTTTCGAAACTCGGAACAATTCATTCGGTTGAGGTGGAGCGAAATTTGGGCTTCAATGTTTATGAAAGGCCAAAGCATTGTTTCATGCTGCTGGCTGAATTTCGATGCCTGTTCGGGACTTCAAAATAATAAATTTGGACAAACGAATACTTCGCTCTTAATTTTAATTAAGCACATAAACAAGTACGATCGTACTATAGTGGACCAGGAACTGCGTAACCGAATTTAATTTCTGCATTGTATATTCACTGCACTGCATTTCTGAACTGCATTGTACAATTTCTGAACTGCATATATAGGCTGAATATTAATGATATGTATATATTATTTGCAGCAAATATATCAAGAATTGTTTGCAACTTGCTTCAAAGGTCAAAAGTAAAAATTCGAACTCCGTCAATCGATGCGGAATAATGCTTAGAATAATTGTGCCAAGTGTCATTCCGATCAAACAAGTAATGCTAGAGCCTTAGTGTTTTTTTAAAGAGCGTCGACCCTAACAACAACAACAACAACAACAACAACAACAACAACAACAACAACAACAACAACAAACACAACAACAACAACAACAACAACAACAACAACAACAACAACAACAACAACAACAACAACAACAAGATTAGCAGCGGTTAGGGACCAGTTCCTGGTCCAAAAACAGTATTTAAACAATTTTGGCTGTCTCGGCCACACCACGTAAGTATTTAATGCTGCAAAGCTTTAATTACTTATCGGCTGTCACCATGCAAACGTACAAGAATATTAAAATTGAGACAGTTATATAAACAGCACTTGTAATACGGTCAAAGCGCTAAGATATTTTACTCTCTCCAATGATGCATATACTCACCCATAGCAACCACTTCTGAAAATTCCGCGTATTTTATACCCTCACGGCCTCACGTATGTCCCTGTCATCTTCCCAACTGTCTGAATTTTACTTTTTATCTTTCGGTCATGATTACGAGAAATTTTTAGAGCAAGATGTGAAATTGATCAGAGAAATTGATTCTTTAGTTCTCAAGCACAAGCGTTGCTATGCAAAGCCTGGTTGTGATGTTGTTACGCTGTTCGAAAATGTATGTGCATGACAACCGGATTTCTTGACTTTCACGTGACATTTTTGTCAACCAATCAGATTCTGGAGGAAATTAACTATAAAACTTGACAATAAAGAAGATATCAACCACTTTGGATTATTTGACTCCAGAAATTAGGCTGTTGTCGATTTTTCGAAAATTGTGACATTTTTGCCATCAACATCATTAAGCGGGTGATTTATGCAAGAATCGGGAAAAAATATTCTTAATGCCTGATTTTGAAGCGAAAGCTATCAGATTTAATCAGAATAATCACAGAGAGGTAAATAAGGTACGTCTGTATCAGGTTCTGTTCGGGCTTTTGTAATACTGTCAACATTTAGACTTCCAGTTGAGATATAATATTAAATAATATATAAATTTAAGTATGTATAAATAAGTATTTATAAATACAAGTATGTATCGATAGAGAAGAGTGTATCGATCAATACTGATTACCACAGGAATCGCAAGTTATACAACGTAAAGAACCAATTCGAACCAATCAAAGGTCGTCGGATCCGCTCGCAATGAGTTTATACATATACATATTTAATTTCCTAATGAAACGGGATTCCCCCGACTGATTGGGGTTTTCCCTTTTTGTGAATACAATATTACTTGTCTTTTATATATAATAACGCTTGATTGTGCGCCATAAATTGGCATTGGAATGGTTATATTCTGCCAGGCGTACCAAGCAGGAGTTTGCAGTCTCGAAGATTGGCTAAAATTCGTAATAAGTGAAGCAATTGCTATTCAAAATTCGAATAATTTTGCTGAAATCATTACCTTGCATTACCTTCAAACTTTTAACTCACCCCACTCCTTAAAATTTTTAACTCACCCCACTCCTTAAAATTTTTAACTCACCCCACTCCTTAAAAATTCCGTAAATTGTTTTTTGAAGTTTTCCCCCAGCCTTCGCAATGTTAATTTCAGTTTACTCATGCTTAGCCATGCTCAGAAGCAATAGCGTGTGTAGTTGATATAATATACCATAGCCACCTTATCCTGCTCACTCCCATCGCCATCTTTTAACCAATATGGTTAAACGTTAGGTAAACTTATTTTGCTTTATGGACTAAGAAAGTTTTGGTGGTTAAAGGAGCACCGCGATCTTTTATACTGAATTCGTCATCAAGGCATTAGACAGAAATTAATATACGCTCCTAAACCTAAAAAGTTGTCGCGTTTTGAAATGGTTAACTCGAATTCTTCACATTCCTCAATTGAATATTTAATTACTTAATTAATTATGATTGACACACGAACTTTTCTTACCTTCAATGCACATTCACTTGCTTTGGTACACTTTAAACGCAACTACTAATAAAACGTTCAAAATATCTGAAGGGATTTCCCCCCGGAATCAAAGGGAATTCCCCTGGCTTGGGTTTGGAAAGTGCTGGAGTTTTGTGACGTGTTAAATCTTTGCTTCTTATCATTAAAATGTTTTGTTCATTCCGAGTTTGTTTAGTTTTAACTTCACTTTTAGCTGCTTTCTTCAAATGCTCAATTCAGTTTGGGTGAAAAATTGAATTCTTGTTAGATTTAGATAGTCAATAGAACTTTCATTGCTTTTCACCCTTCAAGGGCGTAATTCATGATAAGTCGAACAACCATCATGGCGGACGGTCGTTCAATAAGAGGCTCTAGCAAATTTTTAAATAAAAGCGATGTTTTAACAGAGTTTGATCGCACGATCTTAAACCAAGCGATTGTACCAATTTTATTTATGATGGCACGCGTTTTAAATTTGCAGGACTTCAAGTTGGGAAACGTTTGGACTTCAAATTGGGAAAGCTTAAAGTATTTCGTCGATCATATTATTGACTGTTATTAATGACTCCGCGGATAGCTCACCGGTGACCTTAGAAAAGAACGTACCAATCACATCTAAATCTCGGCCTTCGGCAAACAGATTGTCAATGTAGTCTTTTAACTGCCGAGCTGGGGGGGGGGAATTAAATTGGAGATGGCTATTATTGCGAAGAGACGTTGAAGCTAATGCTCCCGCGATTATTACAATACAAGAGGTGGAAGGCAAAATTAAATGCTGGAGCAGGATTTGATTAACGACAGAGAAAGCAATAAAGAAATCAACCTTGCCGAATAGACGGATATCATCCTTGGTAAAAGGTAGACACTGAAATAACTGAACTTAACAATATTAAACAAATTAATATCGTTAAATTTCTTTCCTAGTCTTCAATCACATCGAGTTATTTTATCAATCACATCGAGACAAACGAATACTGCGCTCTTAATCTTAATTAAGCGCATAAGAAAACAGTACTTAAACAATTTTGGCTGTCTCGGCTAAGTGGAAACGATGATCTTATAATTTTGCTTTCCATTTTAAACTTATCCACCGTTTAAGCTAAACGCCTTTCGAAAAACCGGTCCCAGGCTGACAGACCCGGAATATATGTCAACTTGATTTATCATGCTATCTTCGGTTCATGCGCATTCGGCAAATTTAATCGAAATATCCCGGTCAAAACTGTTTAGCCGCATGAGAAATCTCATGCATAGCAAAATATACGTTTCGCCTCGTGATATTTCATACTCAAACTCCCATCCGTCTGCAAGAAAATAACGCAATATTGGCGGGAAGAAACAAAATTGAATATATTAAGTAATTTAGCTTGTAGGTACACCACGTAAGTATTTAATGCTGCAAAGCTTTAATCACTTATCGACTGTCACCATGCAAACATACAAAAATATTAAAATTGAGACAGAGTGCTAAGATATTTTACCCTCTCCATTTATGCATGTACTCACCCATAGCAACCACTTCTGAAAATTCCGCGTATTTTATACCCTCACGGCCACACGTATATTTAAATTTTGCGTATACATGCTAGCAAATATGCTTAGGATAGTGACGACAGGGTTATAATACCCTAACTAAGGTCACTAACCCTTATAACACACTGAAGTAACAGACATATAACGGACGGACGGACGGACAAACAGACAAACAAGCGGCAGAGTTCAGCTTTAGCAACAATGTGATTGGTTCAAGCGTTGAAAGAAAGATTATATTGTGTTGCAACGTAAACATATGGAGCGCCAGGTTGAAATAACTTCAATGTTGTAGAGAACGGTATCTTGGAGAGCGGTATTGTAGGTGGACTTAAGCATTCTTTTGAAGGAGAATATGTATGTCCCTGTTATCTTCCCAACTGTCTGAATCTTACTTTTTATCTTTCGGTCATGATTCTGTACGAGAAATTTTTAGAGCAAGATGTGAAATTTATCAGAGAAATTGTTTTTTTAGTTCTCAAGCACAAGCGTTGCTATGCAAAGCCTGGTTGTGATGTTGTTACGCTGTTCGAAAATGTATGTGCATGACAACCGGATTTCTTGACTTTCACGTGACATTTTTGTCAACCAATCAGATTCTGGAGGAAATTAACTATAAAACTTGACAATAAAGAAGATATCAACCACTTTGGATTATTTGACTCCAGAAATTAGGCTGTTGTCGATTTTTCGAAAATTGTGACATTTTTGCCATCAACATCATTAAGCGGGTGATTTATGCAAGAATCGGGAAAAAATATTCTTAATGCCTGATTTTGAAGCGAAAGCTATCAGATTTAATCAGAATAATCACAGAGAGGTAAATAAGGTACGTCTGTATCAGGTTCTGTTCGGGCTTTTGTAATACTGTCAACATTTAGACTTCCAGTTGAGATATAATATTAAATAATATATAAATTTAAGTATGTATAAATAAGTATTTATAAATACAAGTATGTATCGATAGAGAAGAGTGTATCGATCAATACTGATTACCACAGGAATCGCAAGTTATACAACGTAAAGAACCAATTCGAACGAATCAAAGGTCGTCGGATCCGCTCGCAATGAGTTTATACATATACATATTTAATTTCCTAATGAAACGGGATTCCCCCGACTGATTGGGGTTTTCCCTTTTTGTGAATACAATATTACTTGTCTTTTATATATAATAACGCTTGATTGTGCGCCATAAATTGGCATTGGAATGGTTATATTCTGCCAGGCGTACCAAGCAGGAGTTTGCAGTCTCGAAGATTGGCTAAAATTCGTAATAAGTGAAGCAATTGCTATTCAAAATTCGAATAATTTTGCTGAAATCATTACCTTGCATTACCTTCAAACTTTTAACTCACCCCACTCCTTAAAATTTTTAACTCACCCCACTCCTTAAAATTTTTAACTCACCCCACTCCTTAAAAATTCCGTAAATTGTTTTTTGAAGTTTTCCCCCAGCCTTCGCAATGTTAATTTCAGTTTACTCATGCCTAGCCATGCTCAGAAGCAATAGCGTGTGTAGTTGATATAATATACCATAGCCACCTTATCCTGCTCACTCCCATCGCCATCTTTTAACCAATATGGTTAAACTTAGGTAAACTTATTTTGCTTTATGGACTAAGAAAGTTTTGGTGGTTAAAGGAGCACCGCGATCTTTTATACTGAATTCGTCATCAAGGCATTAGACAGAAATTAATATACGCTCCTAAACCTAAAAAGTTGTCGCGTTTTGAAATGGTTAGCTCGAATTCTTCACATTCCTCAATTGAATATTTAATTACTTAATTAATTATGATTGACACACGAACTTTTCTTACCTTCAATGCACATTCACTTGCTTTGGTACACTTTAAACGCAACTACTAATAAAACGTTCAAAATATCTGAAGGGATTTCCCCCCGGAATCAAAGGGAATTCCCCTGGCTTGGGTTTGGAAAGTGCTGGAGTTTTGTGACGTGTTAAATCTTTGCTTCTTATCATTAAAATGTTTTGTTCATTCCGAGTTTGTTTAGTTTTAACTTCACTTTTAGCTGCTTTCTTCAAATGCTCAATTCAGTTTGGGTGAAAAATTGAATTCTTGTTAGATTTAGATAGTCAATAGAACTTTCATTGCTTTTTACCCTTCAAGGGCGTAATTCATGATAAGTCGAACAACCATCATGGCGGACGGTCGTTCAATAAGAGGCTCTAGCAAATTTTTAAATAAAAGCGATGTTTTAACAGAGTTAGATCGCACGATCTTAAAGTACCAATTTTATTTATGATGGCACGCGTTTTAAATTTGGTCTTCAAGTTGGGAAATGTTTGGACTTCAAATTAGGAAAGCTTAAAGTATTTCGTCGATCATATTATTGACTGTTATTAATGACTCCGCGGATAGCTCACCGGTGACTTTAGAAAAGAACGTACCAATCACATCTAAATCTCGACCTAGGACTGTTCGGCAAACAGAAGAACATAAATTGATGAGTTCTGAATCTGTTTGTCCAATGTCCAGTTATGGTCGCCAGTGTGACTGTCAATGTAGTCTTTTAACTACGGAGCTGGGGGGTATTAAATTGGAGATGACTATTATGCGAAGAAACGTTGAAACTAATACTCCCGCGATAACACAAGAGGTGGAACACAAAATTAAATCAGTGTTGGACCAGGATTCGATTAACGACAGAGAAAAGAATAGAGATATACCTTGGCCGAATAAACGGATATCAACCTTGGTGAAGGGTAGACAAACTGAAATAACTGAACTTAACAATATTAAGCAAATTAATATCGCTAAATTTCTTACCTAGTCTTCAATCAAATCGAGTTATTTGAAAGAATCTACATTTGATCGATATTTTTTAAAGTAAATTTTAAATTTTCAAATATTTTCTATTCCGAGTTATAGAATTGGCGTTAATAAAATCCATTAATCCCTGTTTTCAGTATTTCTTTTTGAACGTTCTGCTCAATTCCGTTCATTCGCTTAGCTATGTAACCTAATTGTTTGTTGGTGAGACCTAGACCTTTTTAAATATATTTTTCAAGCTGAAATAGAAACATTTTTTCTTTAGCCATTGTACTTCCTGTAGCCACTGTAGCAAATGATACTTATTTAAAAATACAAAATAATAAAAATCCACAATGTTGGAAAAATCTAGTTACCAATCTTCTCCCCAACCCCAATAGAAGAAAGTTAAAGTTTGTCGGGTGCAGCCGACAGAAATCAGCAATGGTGCACAACAAGCGCTCCTGAATTTAAGTCGTTCATCAGAATTATATCGTACGTGTATCGAAAGTCATGAGAGATAAATTTGCGTGCTTTCAAACAACGAAACATTTCGCGACTTACTTTCATTATCTAAACATTTTGTGTCACATCTTTATTTAAATACATTAAAACTTTCTTACCTTTTTCTAGCGTTTATGTTCATACACCTCAACGTTTCATAAGCCAAGTTTAACTGAAAAATTAGGGATTCCCAAATAAAATGAGGGAATTACCCCAAGCTAGGTTACCCGCAAGGTAGAAATTGCTACCAGCATAAAACATTTATTCAAATTGTTTTTTGCATGGACATAATATTTTCTTTCTGCTGTTGTGTGTATTCTGTATTCATAGCATATTGCTCTGGAACATCTAACATCTTAAAGTTAGGCATATTAGACAATAAACGTATAATCTCTGCGGGGCTTCAGAATTGCTGTCTCAGGCAATTTTTTGTGGTAATTATATTTTTTCTTCTGCAATATAAGTATGCAATCGCATTCCTAACCAGGAGCGGATCTAGGATTTTTCGCACGTTAGTCAAAATATCGCAAGTGAAAACGGGGAGGTGGGCCTATTGAAATTTAAAAAATCATTAACTTACCGGTAATCTGAACCTGAAATTTATACAAAAATTTTGCGCGAAAAGTACGCATTAAAATTTCAATGATCCTTATTTACTTGAAAAGGATATGTTTTTTCCTTTAAGTCAAATAAAGCAAACCAATAAGAAATCAATATTTTTCTTTCACCAGCCTATCGGAAAGCTTAAATTTCGCGAATGAGTCAGACCCCCGCAAAGATAAAGCAAGCCAATGAAGAACCATTATTGGCCTCCACCAGCCAATCGGACACGCTTAAATTGCGCAGATGAGTCAGACCCCCGCAAAGATGAGTCAGACCCCCGCAAAGATGAGTCAGACCCCCGCAAAGATGAGTCAAACTCCTTCTAAGCCAATCAAGTGACTAAAATCAGAAGTCGATTAGGCAAAATTCGGTAGTTATTTTAATTAAGCGACCCCTCTTGAGTGTATAACAATTCCTAATTTTACTAGCTCTATAGCCTAACATATCCAACCATAGCCCTCCATAGCCCTCCATAGCACTCCATAGCACTCAATAGCCCTCCATAGCTCTCCATAGGCAGCTCCATAACTCTCCATAAGCGTCCATAGGCCTCCATAGGCCTCGATAGCACTCCATAGGCCTCCATAGGCCTCCAAAGACCCCTTACCTTTTTCTAGCATTTATGTTCATGCACCAACGTTTCATAAACCAAATTCAACTGAAAAATTAGGGATTCCCCAATAAGATGTGGGAATTACCCTATAATAACAGAATTGTTAGACTAGGTTACTCGCAAGGTAGGCATTGCTGCCGGCATAAAACATTTATTTAAATTGTTTTTTGCAAGGATATAATATTTTCTTTCTGCTGTTGTGTGTATTCTGTATTCATAGCATATTGCTCTGAAACATCTAACATCTTAAAGTTAGGCATATTAGACAATAAACGTATAATCTCTGCGGGGCTTCAGAATTGCTGTCTAAGGCAATTTTTCTGGTAATTATATTGGTGGTTGAGGAGCACCGCGATCTTATATACTGAGTTCGTCATAAAGGCATTAGACAGAAATAAATACACGCTCCTAAACCTAAAAAGTTGTCGCGTTTTGAAATGGTTAACTCGAATTCTTCACATTCCTCAATTGAATATTTAATTAATTAATTATGATTGACACACGAACTTTTCTTACCTTTAATGTACATTCACTTGCTTTGGTACACTTTTAACGCAACTAATAAAACGATCAAAAGATCTGGAGGGAGTTCCCCGGATATCAAAGGGAATTACCGGCTAGCAGTTTCTGTCGCCTGGGAAGTGCTGGAGTTTTGTAATGTGTTAAATCTTTGCTTCTTATCATGCATTCTTTAAAATGTTTTGTTCATTCTCAGTTTGTTTAGTTTGAACTTCACTTTTAGCTGCTTTCTTCGGCTGGTCAATTCAGTTTTAGTGAAAAATCGAATTTGTCTTAGATTTAGGCATCCATAGGGCTCCATAAGCCTCCATAGGCCTCGATAGGCCTCGATAGGCCTTCATACGCCTCCTTAGGCCTCCATAGGCCTCCATAGACCTCAATAGGCCTCCATAGCCCTCCATAGCTCCCCATAGCCCTCCATAAGACACTATAACACTTCATAGGCCTTCATAGCACTCCATAAGTCTCAATTGCCACCCTAATATAAACTTGGATGTGATTATTGGTTTTCCAGCATTCTCATTAGTCAAAATTCACTGTCTAACTATGGCTTTGGTATTGTATTTTCAAATAAGAAATTTGAAGTAATTTTAAATTTGTATGAAATTGTGTTGCTTATTATTGGTAAACACCTCGAAATTTATACTAATTCTTAAATAGACCTCGCACCTCAGTTTTGATAAATTTTCACGCGTGAGTAATTTCTTATACCAAACTCTGACAATAATACATACTCTGACAAGAATAACTACAGTAATTTCTAGTCATTCTGAAGTCAAACACAGTATATTTGAACTGTCAGAAATCTTTTCTAAACATGAGAAGATTTACTTTTTTCATATTTTGTTCATGTCAAACATTTGCCTGTCACTTTTAAAAATGGTTTACTATTCAAAATAATATATAGGACAAGGTGCATGGCTACGTCCATCCATGTCCATATTACAGGTTACTTTGTATTATCTTTTCAGCAAAATCGTAATACGAGATATAAAATTAGAATGAGCCCGCTAAATATAAAAGGAATGGAAAGTAACATCTTTCACCATAAAACGGGACAGTCAACTGTCTTAGTCTCTTAGAGTGAACTTTAGATTCTAGTGCATATCAAAAAGATGTTATAATAGTTCATTATCGGATATTCGGCCTCGGACTTGAACATGCACCCAATAATGAAAAAACTACACAAACATTCAAATATGTCCATTATTGGGTGGCTATATGGTAGGTATGAAAGACTTCTTTAGCGAAGTAAGAGACATACATTCATAGAGTGTTATGGAGTGTTATACATTTTGTGTCTCATCTTTATTCAAATACATTAAAACTTTCTTACCTTTTTCTAGCATTTATGTTCATGCACCAACGTTTCATAAACCAAATTCAACTGAAAAATTAGGGATTCCCCAATAAGATGTGGGAATTACCCTATAATAACAGAATTGTTAAACTAGATTATCCGCAAGGTAGGCATTGCTGCCGGCATAAAATATTTATTTTAAATTGTTTTTTTTTGCATGGACATAATATTTTCTTTCTGCTGTTGTGTGTATTCTGTATTCACAGCATATTGTTTTGAAACATCTAACATCTTAAAGTTAGGCATATTAGACAATAAACGTATAATCTCTGCGGGGCTTCAGAATTGCTGTCTCAGGCAATTTTTGTGGTAATTATATTTTTCCTCTGCAATATAAGTATACAATCGTATTCCTAAATCCTAACGAAATATACTATTTAGGAAGTATTGATACAGTCATAGAAGTGCGTCTCGAAGCATCTTATTTTAACAATATTTTATCACTTAGTCACAATAATTTTCGTCGTTAATTAATATGCTAATTTTATGTTAAAAATGGTAACATTTTGCATGTTTCTGTGCCTAATGAGTTTCTGTGAACAAATGTCGTAAACATTCAGTAACTACGGTAAGCTACCATCATCAAAATGTTTATTATGTTCATCATATCTATAGCTTCTAGCAAAGTCCATGTTTGCGGGGGTATAGTAGAAATTCATCTGCCACATTTTATGCAATGCGCATGGAATACGTTCTAGAGACAAAACGTTTAGTGCCATAGATTGAATCCTGCTCTAACTAAAAAATACCCTAGTCGCAAATCGCCATCAATGTTGTAAGTTTGAGGATATGGACTTCACAATAGGTCGATAAAGAGCATAGTAATGATAATATTAGCCTTTCTCACAATTTTCTCAAATAGATTAAAAAAATTAAACGACATGAAAAGCAATTTTTTTAGAGTGACGTGAACACACCATTTGAAGAGTAAATTCAGCGGATGGCAGCCGTTACAAGGTCTTACGCTCTTGGTTTTGAAAAAAGTACCCCAAAAATGGCGGCATATTCGTCATCGTGAGAAAGGCTAATTTGATTCTTTTCTTATCAAAGCAAACCCGAAGAGGATCGTACAAAAGCCGCGCCAAAGATATTAATGTTGGATTTCATGCAAACGCATCGTTTGAATATTACTGACGCGGGACGCCAAACACATAAAGGTGTCAGAAGGACAACAAAACAATGGAGTTGCCCTTCTGATAGGTATTCTGTGCTAAACTGCACGAACAAATTGTTTGTTACAATCATTATGGTAATGGACACGTAGCAACAAAACTCATCTATGAAAATAGGGCCATACGTAGAGTTAGTAGCAAGAAAGGAATGCAGCAAGACTGGTGTCATGTGATTTTGACCAACTTTAATGGTTAAGATACTTTTTAGCAATCCTATATTAAGCGATTTTAAACGTTATATAAGTTTTAATACGACTTTACTCCCTTGGATATTGCTTAAATACTTATGCTCTGCTATTTGGCTGGGTAGTGCATGCAAACTACGATGTCTCATCAATGAACGTCCTGGAAAGTCGAGGATGGGACAAATTGAAAAAATTCTTCCCCTTTCTCCCACCGATCAATGTGGGATGGCTACTATATATATATAATATATATTATTAATAAAAGATATAAAGTATATTCTATTTTATAATTTATTAGTAATATATATATATATATATATATATATATATATATATATATATATATATATATATATATATATATATGACGAAAAATGCAGAAATTGCAGCTAGGATTCATATTTATATCAAAGATTAAAAATTCTTGTCACTAGCTATATGAAAACGTAAGATTTCATGTTTATAAAAAGTTCTATAAGACGTTTTTTTTTAATTGTCAACCGAGGAAGATCGAAGGTTTCAGATCGAAACGTCTTATAGAACTTTTATAAACGTGATTACGTTTTCATATAGCTAGTGACAAGAATTTTTAATCTTTTAATCTTTTATATAAATATATATATATCCTATCCTATTAACGCTACTCTGGTTTCGACAATGAAAGCAATCACGATGCATATAAAGATTACATATTTTTATCACTAATAAACCAGAGCAGTGCTAATTTCGATGAATTATAGACCTTGTTAATTGGTGTGTATTTATTTAATACATTTAAATAGCAATAGTTATAGAAACCTTTCTCGCATTGTGATTAATTCTTATTGTAGTTACAACCCTCGTAGTTGCATGACCAAATTAATGGAACCGAATCACTAGAAAAGTCGTGAACGCATTCAAATTTGTGTCTTTTTTAATGCTTCGTGTTCTGCAACAAGCTGCATCACATGTTGAGTATTTTAGCCTTTATTTAAAGTTTTTGTAACGACTTCGCTGATTCAATCCGACATCGTGGGTGTGGTTGATCCTCGTTGCAACTCACGTTCTTTCTGAAATTCCTCGAAATCAGATCTTGATACTCCACTGATCTGAAGTAATTCTCGTAAACCTTGATTTTCAAACTCAAGAGCAGCTTGTCTTTCCTCTTCCTCCTGAATGATTTCATCATCAATCTGAATAGCTTTAGACATCACACTCGCCATCTCACAAATCTGTTCCGTTTTAGATTGTTCTTTCTACAAAGAAGAACATATAAAATCATTTTCACCTTCTTCCAATATAACCAGGGAGCAGCCTGGCAGCGTCTTCAAACACCCTCGCAGCAAATATGGTACAAATCTACCTAAAATAGACAAAAAACAACTTCTGGACCTTTCGACCTTCGTTCATACTATCATTCATACCCTCCTGACGACATCCCCTTGGGTCCACGAAACGTTTTTGTCTATTTTAGTAAATTGTTATGCCAGAAATGATGCTGGGCATTTAATTTTGGTCTGATTTATAATTAAAAATGGATGGTTCATGTGGAGGAACCGAGGTAACTGAAAAGATAGTTCTTTGGATAATCTGTTAATGTACAAACGTGGCCAAAGCGAAAGATCATCAACAGTTCGTGTGAATTTGGAAATGAAAAAGATGAGTTCTTTTGATAGTCAGTGAAAAATATTTGAATATTCACCCCCCTAGTTATTGTTCTAGTTGTGGCCCTGAATACACACAAACAATAAATTGTATAATCGAATTCAGATTTGGGGGAATAGGAATGATTAGTTCTTGACTTTTGAGACAACCCAAACAGATGGATCATCCATGAAGACCAAACTTTTGCATAGCAATTATACTCTAAATAAACTTTATATTACTTCAGAAAATTTCTTCTTTAAAACCTCTGCATCCAGTTTGTTTGCTGACACCAAACTCAGCATCTATAAAATGCGGAATGATCAAAAACATTAGAAAACATTAATCTACAAATCATATGAGATTATTTGTCATTTTCATGTATCATTTTGATACAATATTATACATATAGTATGAATGAACTGTATATATAAGTGAAAACAGATAGATGATACATGTATCTATGCCCATTGTGTACAATAGTTTATTGAATCCTAGTATCTAATGTGCTATAACACAGGCATGGAACAGGGGCCAGTTGTATAAAAGACTAGTTAACATTTAACTGCAGTTATGTAAAGACTGTATGTGTATTTCTGAGTTAACTAGGATTTAACTATGCAAAATGTAGCTAAAGAGTTTTATACAAGTGGCCTCTTGCATGCTTTTATTAAAAAATAAGCAGTTGAAAATAATGCATAAAGACTCTTTATTGTACAATGTTGATGATAATTATTGGCTTACATGTTCCCTATATTTACTCATAATGAGTTCCAATGCTGACTGATGATCTTCCAATGTTGTTTGAAGATCAATATTTTCTTGTTGTAATTCGGCAATTCGCGTACTTTCTTCTTTACTTCCCAACAACAATGTACTCTTTGGTCGGTGCTTTGCAACTTCATTCAGTTTTGTGATGTCTTCTCTGTACTAAAATTTAAAATATACAACAGTGGTACTCTAATAAATACCCAGTGGTACTCTGATGACTGTTACCTCATTGTTCTGAGAATACCTCAGTGGTAACTTAAAAAAAAATCTCAATGTATGTATTCTGAGAATACCCTAGTGTTAATGAATATCTCTGAAAATAGTAACTCCAGTGGTACTCCATTAAATAACACAGTGTATATAAAAATTCAATGAATATCTCAATGTACTCTGAACCCTAGTGGTACTTCAATGAATACCATAGTTTACTCTGACAAATAGGTACTTAAACGGTACTCCAACTAAGTGACCATAGTTGGAGTACCATTCATATATGAAAACCTCAGTGTTGATCCCTGAATACACCTCATTGGTGCCCAAACAAAGATATCGGGAGTGTCTCCTAATCACTGTAATCCCTGTATATACCTTAGTGGCCTATAGAGAAACTATAAAAGTTGATATACATGGGGCATGCTGTATTACAAGTTACACTATATAAATTCAGTAATCATATAAATAAATTTGTATAAAAAATAGATCAATATCGAACGTTTACTTATCAATAACCTGTTTCATAGCTTTAATTCTGTTAAGAAGATTCGTTCCATCAGTCACAATCATATCAGCTGCGTTATCATCTTCCTTTAATTTTAACATTAATCTTTTGGCATCCAAAAGTATCTGTTCCATATTTGAAAAGTAAAGTAATGGTTTGTAGAATTATGAAGTTACGAAAATACGGCTGATGTGCTGAGATGCCTTATCTATAATAGGATTATAGGAACTAAATCATTTCATCCACAACTGAATTCATACGAAAATTACAAAACTTCGACCAAAAAATATTACAAAAAATTAGGTTCCATCTTGAATATTGGAATTCGAAAAGGAAATACGTAAATATTTATATAGAAATACAAGTAGATTTATATAAAGATATTTTCCCTCAGCAAGCGTATGTCAGGATGGCCGAGCGGTCTAAGGCGCTGCGTTCAGGTCGCAGTCTACATATGTAGGCGTGGGTTCGAATCCTACTCCTGACATTATTTTTGTATCATCATTTTTTTCCCTTCTCTCCCAAATCACCCAAAAATTCAACAAGTAAAGGCATAAAGAGTGAATGAAAAATAGTTTCGGATTACTTGGCGGCAGAAGTGTTACATTTTTTTAAACTAAATCGAAGGTGATTTCTTGTCTCCGTAGAGCCGGTAGAGGTATGAACCTCCGGTCGGATAAATATACCAATTCGTGCCAGTCCTACGAAGCTCACGCGTGTGTTGTCAGTTGTCTTGGTTTTATGATATATTTGCAAAAATATGGGTTAATATTTTACGTTTTTTGTGTGTTTTGAGATGATTAATGACGCAGAGAGAAGAGAATGATGTAGAGAGATGATTCTGTTGTTGTGAATGCATAACTTGTGTTAACATTGACTCAGGTAAGCAAGCCACTCGGTCGATCTACGTCTATGTCTTTATGACCAGACATATTCCTGTTGTTATGATACTATTGAATATTGTACTGTTATCATGCTTTAACACAGTTTTGAAAAAGTTGTGATGAAGGGTTTTGATACCTTGAAAACAAATAATCACAGTTTGTAAATTACATTGGACATATATACCCAAGTGCATGATGACTGATGATCAGCATTCAGCACCAGTTTGATAGATTTTCAAAATTGCATTTTCCATTCCTACCTAAACTTCTCTTAGTAAAATTAGATTTATATATTTCATTGTAACTTTAAATGTGGACCTACGAAGGTCCATTGAATATGAGTGTGATGAATAAAATATATATATTGAATATTTGTGTGTGAGAATAATAAGTATTTTTCAGTGGCGTAGGAAGGGGGGGGCACTGGGGGCACGTGCCCCCCCAAGATTTCTCAAGGGACCAAAAGTGCCCTTTTTGTGAAAAAAAAAAGCCTTTTTGGGAAGCGAAAAGAAACGAAAAAGTATCTACTATTTCCCAATAATCCTTAAATTGAGAGGGATTTGCGGCCATTTCAGAGGCCTATATTTCAAAATTTTCTCGGGGAGCATGCCCCCGAACCCCCCTAGCAGTTCCAAACCCAAAAAATACGAAAATTGCTCTGCGGTCGGCGGTCTCTGAATCAAACCGTCCCTATATATATTTTTTTTATTAACCATTTTTAACCGCCATTTTTATTAACCAAAAGTGCCCCTAGAAGCTGGTGCCCCCCCCAACCTCTGGATGCTTCCTACGCCCTTGGTATTTTTGAAGCAAATATATTAATTGTGAGCCCAAATCATATTATGGTATATATTACCTGCATTTATCCAATAATATACCATAAATTGGAGATCGCAGCCAGTTAGCCTGGTACTTTGGCAATTCAAACAAACACTGTGAGCCAGCTAGCTTTCTGAAGTGCAAAAATATCCCAATCCCAAATGGAACAACATACTTATAGAGTTTATTGCAGAAATTTTCTTACTTTTTAAAAAAGGTAGAATTTTAAGTGACAGCTAGTATTTAACTTGTATGTCAAGCATCCCACCACTTTTTTATGTTTTGGCACAATTTGTTTACTCCAACAGGAGATAATTAAATTTATCATCATGATAATGAAAGTTTTGGTGCATTAATACTTTGGATTTGAGATATTTATAATATTTCAAAATACATATTATGACAGTCAATGAAATGACACTGTTTAGGGGTATAATGGAGGCAGATGTTTGCATTGATCATCTTCCAGTGTCAACATCATCCAATGAAAGTGTTAACATCCGAGAATTTGAGGATGCGATTGTCAACCCTGATCCTGTCATTAGAAATGAAGATACTGAACAACTCATGGAGGACTTTTTATCACCACAAAAACTGGTAGAGTATCCTTTTTTATTCCACCAGGCATGATATTAATTACATGTACATAATATCAGGCAAGCTGAGACTAAGAAATCGTACGACAAGCGCGTTGGGAAATAATTTTAATCATAATAAATAATGTGTACATATGTTAAGGATTTATTTTTCTCTAGAATATCCAATATTTCTGTTTCTTATTTTTAGAAAAATCTGACTGGAATTCAAGATTTACATGAAGTTGTTTTTCTTGAAATGATAGTGAATACTTTGCAGAACAGTTTAGGGAATTTTGGTAATTACTTTTGTTCATAATCATAGTTTAATTTCACAACAAGTTTGGTATGGTATAATAACAACTGTATTAAAAGACAAAAGCACCTATACATAGTTCTCAAGTTTTTAAGGCTGTCAAAAGGGTGAAATGAGGTTGAAAAGGTTGGGTTGAATGAATTCTACTCTGATTACACATGTTAATCATAACCATGACCATATGCAACTGCATTATTAGAAACCTTTATCAACTTATGAGGATGCTATCAGATCATCCTTTCACCCAAACCTTTGTTTGCATGGACATTATTAATTTTATATTTATAATACATATTTGGTATTTTAGGCAGTATGGTTCAAAACCTGAAGCAGCTGAAACTAACAAACAGCATCATTTCATCTGTCAGGTACAACTACGTACTTTATGTTATCTGAAAAAAGAACACAAAATATATTTTGCCTGCATGATTTGCAAAATGTAAAATTTTAACCTGGCCAAATTAAGTAACGAGCAGACAATTAGGACTTCACCTGTTTGCAGGCAAATGCCTGTATGATCTCCAATCAGTTCTGGAGAATACTGATCCGACTGTGTCTTGTCGTATCTTATTTTGAAATCATCCTTTGTAAATTTAGCCGTCATCCTTAGAATTGAGAATTCTCTTTCCAGGGGACCCTGTAGGGTTCAAAATGAAGGGAAAATTTAAAATATCCCCTCCCCTCTCCTATGGTACTGGCGGCTTCCATGTTGGATACTTATAGTATTAGCTACCACACATTGCAAACGTTTCCACTAAGAATAATAACGGAACATTTTCAGTAGACGTAAAATACAGCAGAATTTATATACTGTTAGAATCTGACCTGAAGTTGTTTAGAAATTTTATATCTATCATTTAAACTTATCTATGTACATGTAACTGTAAAAATGACACAACTATAGTTAGTATATTTACTGTGATACAAGAATCTCAAGTTCTCTCTGCCGAGATAATAGGATTAAAAAACGATGAAAAACGAAAAAGCTTGGAACAGTATACAGATATATTTGACGGAAGAAATTTCGTATTCGTTTTTCATTTCGTAGCTGCGTGGTGAATCTAATTTTCTATATTATATTTTGTTATTATTGTTCAGTGCATAAGAAATGTTCACGATATTTGACATCTGTACATTATTGAATCACGACATTAAATGATTTCAGAGATCTGGGCACAAGTCTCACGAACCTTCAAACATTATGGATGGCAAAATGTGGTCTGGCTGAACTTGATGGTATTAGTTCTTTATGTTCAATCCAAGTAAGGACAATAAATTGTATTTAGGGGCCTCAGTTAAGAATACTTAAAGCTAATTAGTTTCTAGGCTGCCCTGGGATGAGATCCATAAGGGTACATCTACTGTACGTGTACCTGGAATGATCTAAGTGTAGATCCAAGTGTACATTGCTCAACGCTTTAGTAATTTTCAGAATTTCATTATAAATGTATTCTAAATATTTTCACCAACCAATTCTTCTGCAGCTGGTTTTATCAGTACAAGTATGATTACTAAAAATGCGAGGTTCGTAATTCACGTTTGAATGCACCATCATGAAAACGTCGTTGCGTCCGCTCCGTGAGGCTTGATTTTGAGGCTTGAGGCTATTTTTTTAGAAATCTCGCACTCTTCTTCATGATGACCGCCTTTGTGACGAGATAACAAAGCAAAAGCAGTGATATCTCGGATACTGTAACTTCTCTTATTACATAAACTACACGTGTAGTACTTCCTCTGGATAATACCTGGCATTGCATCTCTGTTGCATCGTCTACTCTGCACATTATTAGGCACTAGACTGTGATACGTCTCTTCCTTGTTCGATCAATTCAACCGCACAGCAAAATTGTACAAAACACTAGTGATACTGTGGCCAAGTTACAGTTAGAAGACAATTGCGATACATACTGTACATGTACATGTATTATTGTTATTTAATTTGACGTCTCTTTCCCCAGGAATTTTACTAGCACAATGTTGTGTTAGTAATCAAATATAAATTAAGTGCATGTAATGACGGTGTGTGAATCAGTGAATGTGTTTTTGAAGTGAAAATTTATATTATTTTGCAGGAACTATATCTTGCCTACAACGACATAACTGAAGTCAGTCCACTGACAATGTTGGATAATCTTCAGGTCTTGGATCTTGAGGGGTAAGTTAGTAACTGCAGGGGTAATTTGGTACATTTTCTTAGGATATCTAGGTAGCAAAATGTAATTTTTGTTTGGGAAGAGTAAGTTCTACAGGGAGTGGATTTTATTTTTCTATGCCATTTATTTTACTGCCAATTAATCATTAAAACACGAATAATTGTTGAATGAACTGTTTTTTCAGGAATTTGGTAGAAGATATAGCTCAAGTGGAGTTTTTAGTTTTATGTCCTGAATTAAAACGTTTGACATTAGAAGGAAATCCTGTTTGTATGAAACCACGACCAGACTCTTCACCACTGGTAAACATTTTAAATTATTGAGAAAGAGCTTGCGATCCAGTCAAGTGTGAAAAGCTAAGATTAGTTGAACATTGCGGTGCCCCTGAGAAATTTGTTGTGTTGTTGATAAATGCATGTGAATGATATCTTGTTGAATGAAGTTAAGAAATTAAGAATTTCAAATGGCGTTAAGAAGTGTGTTCCTCTAATAAGAAATTAGCCGCCGAAGGCGAGGTGATTACAAGCGTATAATCCCTCAGCCGAAAATGAAGTGGCTTGTAATCACTGAGCCTAAGGCGACTAATTGTTTTAGAAGAAATTTCGAGGTGTTTACAAGTAGAATCAACACATTTCGTGAAAATTTATAATTACTTCAATTTTCTTATTTGAAAAAGATGCATCAAAAAGCTATAGTCAGCGACCAGTAGTCATCACTTCGGAGACAGTGAGTTTTAACCGATCAAAATGCAGGAAAATCAATAGTCACCTCGAAATCAATACTAAAGCCTATATATTGTTCATGATTCGTAATTCTTTAATTTCAGACGCAGCTCGACTACAATTACCGGGTGGAGGTGCACAAAGCTCTACCAAAACTGACGTTTTTGGATGATGAACCATTTCTCTTTGATCTTGTTGATGGAACTAAAGTATTGAAGCTCACTCCTTCTCAACAACATGACGTCAGCTTGAGAGAGAAACTGAAGTCTGACTGGGAACTAGTCACTGAAAGAATCAAAGCATTTGATGTTGATGAAACTATAACAGGTAAGAACTGCGTTAAATGAAATTTAATTTTCTTCCATTTATATTAATATAGCTACTTTCATCCACTGAAATGAGCAAATGAGAGAAAATTACAGATTAGTGAACTGTAATAAATAACTGGAACGATACCCTCTCATTGTTTTTATCTCCAGACACACTTGTTTGAAGGTAAAGTTCCGCAAATGTTCTCACAGATGAGGCCAAACTTTACCTTCGGCGGGACTTTACCTTCACAAAAACAATGAAGAGGTATCGTTCCAGTTATTTAATACATTTCACGGTTACAGATTGACTTCTTTGTTGATCAATATTAACAGTTCAACTTTAATATCATGGCCATGCATGACAAAAACAAAAGTTTAAATCTGCTCCTTTTCTTTAAAAATCTTCTTTAAACTGCAGAATCCAAACTTTAAGACTAGAATGTTGAAGATTGATATTTCTCGTATCAAATTATACAATTTTAGAGTCGAAAAAGCCAGGAAATGAACGACCCTCAACTTCTCATAGAATCAGACAACGACCATCGTCAGCCAGACCAGGTTCTTCACGACAACGACCAGGGACATCCTCTGGCGAGAGACCTGGTTCAGGTGGAGTCACTCGACCATCAACTGCAGCAATAGGTAGGTTACAGAGGTGTTATAATAAATTCATGGTAAAAAGTAAAGTATATGGTCATATCCTGTACGTTCGACCGATTTCAATCGAGATGACTAGTTTGGTTACACTAGTGAATAGTGAATATTATATTAAACTTTTTTACGTTGGTTTCTAGTGTTTATACTGTTAGCATAAAAATCTGATTCTTTCCATTTAGGTGAACCTACTTCTTATGAAGAAGATGATAGCAGTGATCTAACTCACGGTACTATGATTTTCAATCAATTTAGGATTACTTTAGTTTCATGCAGTCAAGTTTACAAGTAACTTTTGTAGCGGAACATGATAACGTAACATTGAGAAGTTAATTCATTTACCGTCAAGTTATTTTATTCTATGGTTTAAGCTTATATAACATATCAGAGTAATTTGCAGAATATATATAGGGCTCTCCTGACGTACATAAGAATATGTCCTCTGATTCCGAGCTATGTTGCTCTGCGGTCGTGATATAATTATAGGCTATTAACTTATTACGCGTATACCATAAAAAGCGACGTCACGAAACTGCGATTGAATAACACAATGGACTTTTGCATAATAGACCAACTTTTTATTTAGGCAACAAAAAGGAAATTTCCGAAAAGTGCATACTAAATTTCGTAAAATTACCAAGTTTGGCCCCAAAATATTGTAAAGTATGGAATATATAGCCATGCGAAGTTGGAAATTTTGTATACTTTTTTACCACGGCCGGAAGTGTGTAACTAAATTAGTTAAACGGTTCTGGCCGTGATAAAAAAGTATACAAAATATGCTACTTCGCATGGCTATATTTTCCATAATAATTGACATTTTGCGGCCAAACTTGACAATTATACTAATTTCGGTATGCTCTTTTTAGCTGTGGTGATTTATTTCCTTCTTGTTACCTAGATCATTATCCAAAACTGTTTCGTTGTTTTAGCCGACTCGGTGCTGTATTTGTCCCATCCTAGCACAAAAACAGATTGATCTATGCCAAATACACGGTTTATATTTTGTGATATATCACCTATAGGTTCGGCTGCTGTTATCTGTGGTAATCCATCTCGAGCATTGAAAAGCCGCCGGAAGGTTAGAAGACATTTGCTGCTATACTTCTCCTTACCACTGTTCAAACATTTATGTTTATTTCTTCTGAGTGTCCCACATATATTCCCTATTATCCCCTATTAACCCGCAGTATGTTATTCCTAGAACATGAGTCATGAGGTGAATATTTTACAATTATCGTCGATTGATGAAGAAAATCATGATGGTGATAAGTCTCAACGAGATCTCTTTGAAGAGTTAAAAACATGGAGAAACGAATACGCCAGGTTAGAAGTTGCCTAGAGGTATTGGTCACCAATCATCAGACAATGTTTGCTTACGTGAAATCATCGTGAAATTGTTCACGTTTTTTTTGAGTTTCTCTTCAATATCTGCAGTCGGCACAGATATAAATGCAGTCATTTGTATCGTATTCTTTGAATGTTTTGGTACCAAACCGGGTTTTTTCTTCACGATCAACCACTCAGTGTCACTGTTGCTAGACCATTGAGCAGTGGTAACAGACGAGTATAGCAGCAGTATATCGTGTTTAGATCAGGTTACATTTCTAATGTTCTCAATCTTTAGCGGAATTCAACGTGTAGTTATAGAAAATCTCATTAAATTCAAGTAATGAAACAGCTGAGAAAATTGTAAACTATTTGTCGTGTAGAGGCCGGTTGTTGGAAAGATGGATAAAGTTATCCACTGGACAGTAATACCAGCCAGGGGCCGGTTGTATCAAGCCAATTTAGCTTAAACGATGGATAAGTTGAAAATAGAAAGCAAGTCTATCGTTTTATTCAACTAAATGTTTTTAACCTTAACACAAAGATACTGTTTACAACTACATATTCAATGCATAATATTTAAGTTGTCTCATTCAAGAGAGATGTAAGAGTGTTATCTAATTTTGACTTATCAACCGTTTAAGCTAAACAGGCTTGATACAACTGGCCTCAGATAATTTATTTTATTCTTTCTAATACTGTAGAATACTCGACAGTCGCCCGCAGTCTACTACACAGGGAAATGGCGAAGACGATACTGATGGACAGCCCCAGAAGTTGTATAAGTAAGCTGTTTTTACATACAAATAAGAAGAAATAAAGCTCATGGTTTTTACAGCTACAGTATTGTATAATTATACAGCAATAATATAAAACCTTAAACTCTGAGCGCGGAAGGAATTATGGGTTGTAAGGTGCTGTGTAATGTCCTTCTACTGAGGTCAGAATATTACCATTACAAATTAAATCAGCAATAACCCATAATCCTTTCAAATCAACTTCAAGGTTTAATGTTTCGGAAGGGCAATTCTCATTGCATATGTACATGTATCTATATTTAAGAAGAAAAACTCGGAACACAATATTATTTCATGTCACAACTCCTGTTCATGATTCTTACTCACTCAAGGAATTGATCATCTAGGGGGCCGTAATTTTTCACTGAGTTGCCTGAGTGAAAATTGAAACATATTATATTATGTGGAAACAGAGTGTAAACGGAGTGAATCCAGTTTCCTGTGCAGCAGCTAAAGGTCGATGTTTCAATTGTCATATTTGATCTAATCTATTTAGCAATCACCCTGCACCTGCCCCATCCAATCTATCACCCACTCCCCCACAATACCCAGTGTCCTCCCCTCTATCTAATGGCCCCACACGACGTAGGATCTCCCCCTTCATTCGTGCATCCCACCCTCTACCCTCACCTCCAGAGGATTGTGAACGGCCGAGAACAGCACCTAGTTTTCCACAGCGACAGAAATCCTCGAGATCTCAGTTCAGAACGAGAAATATCTCTGGAGAAATAAGAGAATCTCAAGACGTTCATTCATCAGAACCAAGAGCAAACTCTGCTCCTGTCAACTCCTCGGCTCCACAAAGGTGATGATAACGTTTTAATAACATTGGAACGTTTAAACGATATAGTGAAAGCTGCGGTTTAGATCAATTCCTTTGTATAATTATAGCTCCCCTCGTGTATCCAATATCTGGTATTCTGGTGTATAATCATTATTATAATAAACCTACTCACCGCATGGTGGTGAGTGTAGTGTGAACAGCCAGTAATACCGAGAGAATTTGTGCTGAGAATTTGATAAAAGTTGGCATATTTTTATTATTATAAAGTTTTAGCTATATTATATTAAATATAAAACAATTACATAGGTCTCGTTCTCCATCAGGTCTCATACGACTAAAAATTATGGTGTAATTTTAATTAATTATATCTTATAACAATGTGGTATGATATATGGTACATGCATAAGATGCTCGATTACTTCACTTCACTGCAGTATGTTTATAAAATATCTTTACTATTTTAGATCGTCATCTTCGACACACGACGCGTCTGGTGATCTTCGTGACAATCCTGTAATCTCTGCATCAAGAGAGTTAGAGCGACCAAGAGTTGATCGTAGAACCAGAGTAAGACCTTCAACAGCGCGACCTGCGGCTGTCAGGAAACAAAATTTGCAGTAGGAAGTTACATCACGTTGAGATTAACGCAGAAGAGCGGCGCTTCGTTATGTGTAATAGATGGATATACCAATGAAAGAATGGATACGATGATTTCAGCTGTATAGACCAACTAGGGCAAGAAGAACAAAATCCAACACCATTGCTCAAAACTGCGTGTTAGAATGGTTCAAAAGTATCATAAAGTGTTCACAATCTGCGAAGTTTTTAACTTTACTCCACGTGTGCTTAGAAAAGCACTTGCGTTAGGTTTTTTCCCACGTGATACAAGAAAGTGATGAGAAAATTGAAATCTGAGACGGTATTGCACGTAGAAACCGTCCTAACCAGGTTTACCAGGGTAATAAAGGTGTTACTAAATAATTTTTCGTTTCTTTTCACGAACGAAAGTCGTAAATCACCAAACAAGATTACGTCAACCCATTCAGCAAGGTCAGAAGGTAGAATTATACAAAATGTGTTGGATTCTATTCTTCGTCTCCCGAGCAACAATTTTGTTTATTTATCCATTTCATGTGGCAGACAAACTGTACTGAAAATTTAACCTTATAATACGCCAGCAGCAATATACATCTCAAGTATTCCTACACCAAGCATTTAAGATGTGTTCATTTTTTAGTTCTTTTCGACGGAGCATTACTGCGGCTTAGACTTAAAATGTAAAAAGACTGAAGTTGTGTATTATTTATATTGGTTGTATAATATACTGTACTTTTCATTCTGACTTAGAGGGAGCATTAAAAGCTTTGTGTGCACGCAGCGGAAATGGATTTCGTTAACTGACACAGTGACAGTGAAGTAAAGACGTAGGTTCCTGACTTGTCTTTGGTTGAATCTCAGATATATCCTAGCCACTGATATATAAAATTAATATCACTAATAGCTATGTGTCCTGCATGTAAGGGAGAGAGGAGTCAATCAAGTTTAGTCCCACATACATAAGATTTTCCCAAAAAGATAAATCTTCGATGGAGACTTCGACCGAAACCGGACAGTTATAGTTGCTTCAAAAAATTCCAAGCCTCTTAATCTAGTTCTGAAATTTCTATACGAGATGATAACGGCACAGCGGGTGCGATACGCCAACACGACACGAAATTTTCTGACTGCCTGGCGAAAGAGCCGGCAAGAATGCTGCAGCGCAGTTCAGACCTCGGTCTTTTATGTACGGACCTCGCTATCGCTCGGTCCGTACGGTCAAGACCTCGGTCTGATATTTTTCTAGTACGGACCTCAAATTCGGTTAATAAGTGGTATATATATCAACCCCAATTATCCTAACTAGTTTCTCCTATGGTCCCATGTGGTTTTTAGTTTAATTTCACTCTTTTTGATAAAAGGAGGTTATTATGGTTGACTTTCTTTGAAATATTCAACATCTCAGTGCTCGTCTTTCACGACCCAGTCCGTGAATAAAATATTTAGGATAAAATATGATCCGAAGAAAAATTACGGCGTATTTTAGTTACGCAACCAGGCTTCTTTATTTATTTCTGGCGTATGTGAAATAGTTGCCTCATATGCATAATCTTGTTTACTGCCTGACAGAAGCAAACCTCAAATTCTTTGTTTTGAAGTTTTTGTAAGGCATACAAATCACTCAAGTTCACGTCCAGTTGAAAACAATGGCATGGCGATTTTGTTCTCTGCAACCAATCAGAACCAGAGAATTTGATGACGCGAAGGAAAGAGTTTGCAGGATGGTGTTGGGCGCGTGCTTTCGTATGGAAATTGAAAGTCGTTCTTAAATATTTTCTTCCTGTTGCAAGACGTTTGAGCGAAATTCTGTGGGAAAATGTCCGAAAGAAGCGAACGTTGATCGACTAACAAGACGTCTAACTTGTTAGCGCTGTTCATGGCTACATATCTGCGGGTATTTATTTGAATCAACCAATTTTTATATCACACCGACACGGATCAACGCGTGTATGTTGTTAAATTTAAACGGCGAACATTAGCATTGCCGGTTGCTACCAAATGGACCAATTTTGCTTGCCTTTTCAGGCTGAATCTTCTCAATATTTGACTAGTTTTGCCAACATAAGTTTCGTGTAACTGATCACTTGCATTCCTTATCGTTTTAGAGAACAAATCCTTGGGAAAAGACGCAAAATTCCAAGGACGTCACGTAAGGTTGGTTCATGTGAAACTTGATTTATCGCTATAAAAGGAAATACCCCGCCATTGAAGCAACACATTTCAGTGAATAAACCCACAGCTCAAAAATGTTTTCAAATTAAACCTTATGACTCCTTTCATCACATTCATAACGTTTCTCTCTAGTGTGTGTTCTTTGATGGCTAACCAAATCACTACCACGTGAAAATCTCTTCTTACAAACATCACATTCATAAGGTTTCTTTCCAGTGTGCTCGCAATTTCTTTCTCTTCTTGCTGCCTTCAAGCTGTTCATTGCCTCACTATGAACTCAAAGACTTTGAAAACACAAGATATGAAAAATATCCTGGCAACACACAAAGCCAAAGGCGGTATCAAAACGGCAAGCGACAAATCCTAACTTTTTAATACTGGATCATTTTGTTACACGATCCCTATTCTCTGTATCTTTCAGCGGAATCGTCGGGGCCGTAGGGGAAATAGCCCAATAACGTATACTAGATTAGAACCACAACAACAACTTAGAACTTCGTTTTATAGAAATGTATTAAAAGCTGTGCCTCCGGCTCGTGCTGTTGCCTCTCACACTAACTGCAACTAATGACTGATAACTATTCACCGCTTCCGAGTGTCAAGTGTCTAACAATTAAGCATTGTTCATTGTTCCACAATGTTTCAGTGTTCCACAATGTTTCATTGTTTAGTTGTGCAACGCCCGTGCATATACAATATATCTCAGTCATATTGCTTATATAACATATCTCCCTCTTTTAGTTGAAAACCTCCCGGTTTTCAGTGTAACGATCACAAAAAAAGTTATTACAATTTGTTTCAATGTATGTACAATCCCACCCCCCACGTTTCGCTTCTTTTTCGGAATCTTTTAGCTTCAGTTCCAGCGTTCTTCAATGTAAGTGGTAAATCTTGCTTGAACGACAACATTCTTTCTTCATTTTTTTTTTTCTTGTATATTCATAGTACATAATTCAGTTGCACTGAATGTTAACAAGTACAGATAAATACTCACCCAATTGCCAAGGCGTATGAAATAATGACTTGAACCAAGGAAAGGAAAGACGGTTGTGTCAGGGGAGAGACAGTGACATTACGACAATCACAGAACAAACCAACAAATAACATAACAAACGAAAATAAAGCCTATTGTATACATAGATAGCTCTTTCGTTATTCACTTGCAACTCTCACGCGAAGACATTTAACTATGGTTCACCGCAGTTATAACGTGTCCAAATGGGGGTATCAGGACTAGATAATTCAAAACGGAAAGTCAGGATCATAGAAGCATAAGGCTGCCGAACACAGAGAGCAAGAAACAAATTATCCCAGAGGTTAAAAGCTAAGAGTCTGTATGGTTCGTTAGTCGTGGTTTTGTTGTAAGTTGAGAGGCCATCTGGTGGGAGATCTACGTCACATTTCAGTGTTGCTGGTATGATAGATTCAGTATTTGGTGGTAAAACACATGTTTGGTGTGCATGTACTGAACAGAAAATATTTAATGCTGGGTTAGGCAGTGACTTTTCAGTAGGTAGTAGTAATTCAAGTGTATTGTTGTCAAAATTTATGACAGACTGGTAATGACTGAGGAAATCAGACCCAAGAATTGCATCATAAGTTAAATTTTCTATGATGTATGCGTAATATGTATAATTGTATTCACCAATTTGCAAAGGAACTAATGCTAAACCTTTGATTGGCATACTTTCTCCGCTCACAGTTCTGATGGTATGTGGAAACACTTTATTGCTATTCACTCTCTTGAGATTTGGTATTCTGTTAAATAGAGTCTCACTAATTGTGGTAACAGATGCCCCAGTGTCACATAAAAATGATGTCAGTATGTTACTTACTCGGCCTCGCACGAATGGGCAATTATTGCGAATCTCAAATGTAATATGATTAGAATTAACAGAATGTACATTTGCTGATGGGACAGAAAATGATAGGCCCTCCAGGTCAGAATTCAAAACAACACTCGATTCTTTATTAATTTCTTTACTTCCTTCAAATGACAAATCAACTAGATCATCACAGATTGGTACATCTGTACAAGGTAAGGGACATTGTTCTCTAGTACTAGGTCGGACTTGTTGTGGTACATTTATACATGGTGACTCATTCACCTCTAAATTATCTGCACCTTTTGTTTACTGGACTTAATAAATTCATTGAAACTGTATCACAATTCATCTTTGGTAGACCAGAGGAAATACCCTCTTCATATAGTACATTAACAGGCTCATCTGTGGATAAATTAAAATCAATACCTATAAGATCAGGATGTATACTGGTTCCTAATTCAATATCAAATGGGAGGCTGGCAAAGTCATGCTCTTCTTCTTCTATATTAACTAGTGTGTGTGATATATCAGTAAATTGATCATATGGATCATCATCAATCTCATATTCATTAGACATTTCCAGACATTTCGTTTCTTCACAGTTCCCTGAAAAATTTGCTTCCCTATCGTCCCGGTATAAAGAAGCAGCAATTAGTTTCCCGACTTCAAATGGAAAGGATTATTACCAGTGTTTCTTTGTTGAGGGTGAAATACAGGAGCATCAGAACGAATATGTGAATTGTGCTGAGCTCCCTGTGAGAGCTGATGTTGCGCGTCAGGGTGGATATATTGATTACCTTGAGGTGCATGCTGATTGATAGTGAGGTTGCATACTAGGACGATGTGATATGCCTCTTGCTCTACAGTTACGAGCGATATGGCCAACTTTATTGCATTCGTTACATATGGGTAACCCATCTGTTGTGCGACGGTTACGGTTAGAGGGCACACCAGAATTTGACGGGCGATGTGGGGGTATTAGGTACTGTGTCTGTCGCCGTACCTCTTCCCGAACTAATTTTGCAATGTGGTCTGATTCATGCCTTGGATGAAATGATGAGGGCTGGCGCCAATTGTCGCGACTTGGGTTGCTTACTTCGTTAGATCTCGCAGGTTTTGGATAGCGATTATAAGCTGCTACATTTGGTACCTGGTTTTGGTCAGTTTTACTCACAAGATTCTCTAGACTTTTAACAACAGATTCGAGCTGAGATTCAAGCTTATATTGTGCTAAACCAGGCGTGCTCATTGACACGGCTTCCTTTAGGTGGGCAAGGTTTTCTGCCTCTGCTAGACTTTTTGGTTGCCCAAGGATAACATGACTTTTTAAATCTGGTCGAAGGCCCTGAATAAAATAGTGCATGCTTTCGATGTCGCTTAAACCTAACTGTTTAGAAATGCACCTTAATTCTGCTACATAGTTTGCCACAGACTCCGTTCCATGCTGCTTTCTCGCTGACAATTGCTGACGCAAAAGCCAAATTGATGCCGGATTGCTAAACTGGTCCTTTAATGCCTTAACTAAATTATCATGCTCGTGAAAACTAGTATTTAGACTAGCATACCAAGAACCCGCATTATCCTGTAAATAAAGAGGTAAGGCGCGTAAACGTTGTTTAGAATCCCACCCACAAAAATTAGCATAGCGTTCAAAATGGTTGAGGAATGCTGTGATATCATCAGTTGGCTTACCAAAAAAAGGTGTGGGCTGGAGAGCAGGGCCCATCTGTAGTGTGTTTTGTGCAATTAGTGT